TCCTCCTCCTTCTCCTCCCCCTCTCCTCATCCCTCCTTTCTGGGTGACTGGGTGGCTGCGTCAGCGGTTGTCGCACAAGCACAACCGTCCGCAAACTGGGACAATTAAGTGGTTCCCTCAGCCCTCAAAAAATAGAAAAGGGACACTGGGGCTGATGCGCGCGCTGGACGCGGGCGAGAAGGCCCTGTTGAACGCGCTTGTGCTTTGTTTCCGAGCGCGCGAGGGTATTACACTTGGGTCGGGCATGTCCGCCTCCAGTCTGGTTTTGAAAGGGGAACACGTGTAATCAAAGAGTGCTCATATATACGTAGCACCTCGCATATGCGGATAAGAATGAGGGGGCGGTGGGGACGTCGGCAGTTTGCGATACTCTGGAGAAGCCCGCCGCAGGCGCCAATGTCTCACAATGTATGCAACGAGCCCGCCGCAAGCACCATTTTTTCGGTAAACCAATGTGGGTAGGTCGCGGGTAGGTCGCGGTTGGGTTGCAAATGGGTCGCGGGTAGGTCGCGGGTGGGTCGCGGGTGGGTCGCTGTTGGGTCGCGAGTGGGTTGCGGATGTAGAGGGCGGAACATCCACCCCATAATAACAACCCCGAAATGCGAAGCCGTTTAGTAAACGCACACAAGGAATGAACCGACCAGGGCAGGGCTGTTTAATGAACGCCCTGGGCCGTCTATCAAACGTCAATTGTCGGGTCCGGGTGGTTTTTCCTCTCTCGAAGGCGGGTCGCGGGTGGGTCGCGGGGTGGGTCGCGGGTGGGTCGTGGGTGGGTCGTGGGTGGGTCGCGGGGTGGGTCGCGGGTGGATCGCGGGGTGGGTCGCGGGTGGGTCGCGCGTGGGTCGCGGGTGGGTCGCGGGGTGGGTCGCGGGGTGGGTCGCGGGGTGGGTCGCGGGGCGGGTCGTGGGTGGGTCGCGGGGTGGGTCGCGGGTGGGGTCGCGGGATGGGTCGCGGGGGGGGTCGCGGGTGGGACGACGACGACAACAAACAACAAACAACAAACAGCAAACAACACACAACAAACAACACACAACAAACAACAAACAACAAACAACAAACAACAGACAACAAACACAACAACAACAACAACAACAACAACAACAGCAGCAGCAGCAACAGCAACACCAACAACACCAACAACAACAACAACAGCACCAACACCAACACCAACACCAACACCAACAACAACAACAACACCACCACCACCACCAACAACAACAACAACAACAACAACACCACCACCACCAACAACAACAACAACAGCAACAACAACAACAACACCAACAACAACAACAACAACAACAACACCAACAACAACCAACAACAACAACAACAACAACAACAACAACCACAACCACAACCACAACAACAACCACAACAACAACAACAACAACATCAACGACAACAACAACAACGACACCAGCAAAAACAACAACAACAACCACAACCACAACAACAACAACAATAACAGCAGCAACAACAACGACAAAAAAACAACTGCAACCACAACAACAACAACAACAACAACAATCATTTTACCCGAACGCGTGGTGTTCTCCCCAGTGCCAGGGTTTTCATACGACACCAGGCAATACCCCCACTTCGTGGGGGGGCATTACAAGCTCTACCAAATATCCAAACGACTCTTCGCGACCACCCAAACCCAGCTTCCCGCCCTATGACGTTGGGACACTTCACTTCGTGGCGTGCGGACGACCGTGGCTACTACACTGGCGTGGGGTACACACCCACAGAACTTGGTCACTTATTCGGGGCGCGCATGTGCCCAGCATGGTGCAATTGTGCCATGCTGGGCACATGCGCGGATGGTATTATTTGACAGGGATGATGGCCCTGGCAGGTGCGCAACCGTTGTCGCAGAAGTTCGAAAAAGTTGCTCGCAAAAGCCCGTTTGACAGAAATGTTTAAAAAGTGTTGGTTTTCCTACGAATCCGCAAGAGCGCGCGGGATGAGATTTTGACATTTTTTTGTTGAAAAACCATTGGTTTTTTGATGTTTTTATGTTAAAATCGCTCCGAACACTAAGCTTTTGGAAGGATTTCGTCTTGCGCGCGCGAATGTCCACTTTACCTTATTTTTTGCAAGGGATTCTTGAAATTTGATTATATTAGAACAAGAAATGTCATTTTATAGTGTTTTTTGCAAGGGAAAGCGGGGGGGAACAAAACAACCGGATCTTGATCACATCGAATTACCTGAGGCTTCCTCACGAAAATGATGAAATGTAGCTGCGGCCTAGGCGCGGCGGGGGGGGCGTGCACCAGGGGGCCCAACAATAATTATTCTTTAGAATTAATAATGTTCAACAACAACAACAACAACAACAACAACAACAACAACAACAACAACAACAACGACGACGCCGGCGACGACGACGACGACGACGACACCAATAACATAAACAGAAAGGCGTGCGCTTCGGGCCTGGTCAGGGACGGAGACTCCGGTGTCACTCCGCCGGTGGACGGGCGCACACTCCAGCCCCAGGACCCCGAAAGAGGCCCCAAGAGACTCTCCAAGACACCCCCAAGACGCCCCAATAAGCTCCCGTGAGGCCCCAAGAGGACCAACAACGTTCGGCCCCAGGCCCCAAGAGGACCAACAAATACCGCCAAGAGCCCGCCGAAAGCCCCCCAAGAGACCGTCACGAGAGCTCAGGAGGCCCCCTGGAGGCCTCCCGAGTTCTCCAAGAGGCCTAAAAAGAGGCGCCAAGAGGCCCCAAACGGCCCCACCGAGGCTCCAAGAGGCCACGAACGCGCAAGCAAATGCCTGCGATGGCACAATACGGGCCGGCGGAATGAGCGAAGCGATTAAATAACATAAACGGAAAGGCGTGCGCTTCGGGCCTGGTCAGGGACGGAGACTCCGGTGTCACTCCGCCGGTGGACGGGCGCACACTCCAGCCCCGTGGGTATGAGACGCTGTGTGACGACGACTTCTCCGGCCCTGCGAGAGGCCATCTGCGGCGGTTTCGCGCAGCGGTGGGCAAACGTACACTCCGCCCCCGTATGCCCCGTCATCTGTGCTGTTCCCTCCACAGAAAACGCTCCCCGTGCGCTACCCCCTTCTCCGGCCCCGTGTGCAGCTAACACACCCTCAGGGACCCTCACGACGACGACGACGGCGGCGGCGGCGACGACGACGACGACGACGACGACGGGGATCCTGAGGAGTCCTCGGGAGCCCTGAGAAGTCATGAGGTGTCCTTATGAATCCTTGGGGGCCCTAAAGAATTCTAAGATATCCCACGGAACCCTGCGCAGGCCCGCAAGATTCTGAGCAACCCTGGCGAGATCCTGACTAATGCTTGGGGAATCCAAAAAGGATATCTGTGAGGTCCTGAAGAATCCTGGGCTCTCGGGAAGAATCCTGATGGATCCAGACGAACCCTGACGATTCCTGAGGAGTCCTGATGAGTCCAGAGGAAGCCTAGGGGATCCTGAGGAGTCCTTGTGTCCTGAGGATTTCTGTGCAATTCTGAAGAATGCTAAGGGGTCATGAAAGGGTTGATGGGGTGCCCTGAAGGGATCCTGAGGTATCCTGTGGGATCGTAAGGAGTATTCAGGCATCCTCGACAACCTTTGAGGAGGATCCTGAGGCATCAGTGTGGACCCTGAGGAGGAAGCCATCGGACTCTTTGGAGGGGGCGGGTCCTGGTGAACCCTGAGGAGTCCTTGGGACTCCTGAAGAATGCTGACGTGCCCTGAGAAATCCTTGGGGGTCCTGAAGAATTCTGAGATATCCCGAGGAATCCTGAGCAGCCCATCGGGATCCTGAGACACCCTGGGGAGATCCTGAAGAACCCTTGGGGGTCCCACGGGTTCCTGTAGGATCCTGAGGAGTCCTGGGGACTCGGGAGGAATCCAGAGGAATCTTGAAGGGCCCAGAGGAATCCTAGCGAATCCGGAGGAATCCTGATGAGAGCCCAGGGGAAGCCTAGGGGATCCTGAGGAATCCTTGTGGGACCTGGGGGATCCTGGGGGATCCTGAAGAATGCGAAGGAGTCCTGAGGAATCCTTCGGGCCCTTCGGAATCTTCAGGCATCCGGAGGAACCCTGGGGGATCCGAAGGAATCATCGTGGATCCTGAGGAGGGATACATCGGACTCTTTTGGAAGGGGGGGCGGTCCTGGGGAATCCTGAGAAACCCTCGGAAACCTGAGGAGTCCTGAGGTGCCCTGAGGAACCCTGACAAATCCAAAATAATCCGGATTAACCCAGAAGAAACCTAGGGGATCCGGAGGAATCCGAGTATGTCCTGAGGATTCCTAAAGAGCCCAACGGAACCCTGAGAAACCCGAGGGAGATCCTGAAGAATCCTAAAGGTTGGCAATGAGGGGATGTCAGCGACCACCACCACCACCAACCGATTTGGAGATGTTGAAAATACCCTTTGTGTGTGCGTGTGTGTTAAAGAGACTAGTATCCTTTGTTTGCGGTCGTAGGATCGGTGAGTTCCATTGCCCTTTCACACAGGTCGGGCTTGGCCAAGCGAGCTTCCTTTCCGCTGCAGATTCCGATCCCCATGGCGCCCGCCGACGCTGGTGCTGTAGGGCCCGTTCCGCTGGTGCTCGTGATAGATCCTGCTGGCCCTGCGGCCGCGGCTTCCTTGTCCCCGTCGACAGGCAAGTCCACGGCGGTGGTGGGTTTCTTTCTCCTTCGGCAGCGGCTGGTTTTCTTTAACCGGGGCCGTCTGCCGTCCTTCTCCTTTGAACTGCCAGCTTCTGTTTTGCTTTTCATGTTCAGAGCATGAGGCTATGGCTCCCTCGCGCGCGTGACAAAACAAAACTAGTTTTCACTCGTTGTGGATGCGTCTGATATTGGCTGGGCTTTCTTCCTCTCTTGTGGGCTCCCTCCACATCAGCCGTCTAGACGTCGGCATTCTCGCGGAGCCCAAGGCGAGATTCGCAACTGAAATGGGTCGACGCCGTGTCATCCATACACATGATTGATGATTAGGACGTTTGCCACTGAAACCACCTGTTCGTGTAGCTCGGCGATGGCATGCTTGTACTTATTGCCTGCTTGCCCCAACTTCGCTTCAGTCCCTTGGACCCTCTCGAGTTGGGCCACAACCTTCTGATGTATACTGCCAGGGTGTTCGCACTGATCTGGCATCTGGGACTCCAGTTTGCGATTCGAATGTGCCTTGTCCGCCCGAACCTTGGGGGGATCGGGTGGCTTGGGCAAGGGGGCCAGCGCGAGTACTGCTTGGCCAGCGGCAGATTGCCAGCCTTCCTGGCAAGCAGAATGAGCTGCACAACCTCCTCGTGAATGTTGCTGGCAGTATGGGTTGGCAGTGCAACAGGTGGGACAGCGTCGCGAGTAAACCGAAGAGCGTGGGGACCAGCATTCCAAATCGAGCCACCATGGTAGGACCACTTTCGCGGAGGATCACGCGCGGCCGACTCACGACAATGCGTACCACTGTGCTTGTAGTAGTGCATGCAGGACGTGTTCTTGCAGCACCCACGACCACACTTCCAGAGGCGCATCTGGATGGACGTCGCACTGCCACGCGCGCGGGACTGGAAGTGAGCGGTCGCTGAAAGATGGAATCGAAACCTGAGGGCGCCCAGCTCTGGGGCAGCCCCTTGGCTGCAGACAAGGAGAAGCATCCAGGGCGAGGGTTTTTAACTTGAGCCAACATTGCTACGTGCGGCGCCCCCCCCCCCTGCCTCCTTCCCCTCCCCCCCTCTTACTCCTTCTCATCCTCCTCCTCCTCCTGCTTCGCCTCCTCCTCTTCTTCCTCCTCCTCCTCCTCCTCCTCCTCCTCCTCCTCCCCCTCCTCCTCCTCCCCATCCGTCGCCTCCCCCTCCCGCGCGTCCTCCTCCTCCCCTCGGCCTGAGAGGCCCACGCCCCCATGGGCCTCCGAGACGACCCCAAAGCGCCCAAAGAGGGGCCCCCGACTGCCGAAAGAGGGCCCCAAGGCGGCTTCCAAAGGCCAGGAGCAAGAGGCCCCAGGAGGCCGCCAAGACGCCCCCAGGAGGCCCCAAGTAGCCCCTTGAGGTGCTCCCAAGAAGCTTCCGGGAAGCACCCAGGAGGTCCCACGAGGACCCCAAGAGGCATCCTTCTGTTAGTCCTCCTCCTCCTCCTCCTCCTCCTCCCCCTCCTCCTCATTTCTCTTCCTCTCCCGAATGCTCCCCCACACCAGTTTCCACAACGGCTGGGGGAACACATAGCCCATCAACTTGGCAAAGCTTCGGCCCAACGTTTCACCGCGTGGGCGTTTCCAGGAGGCGAGGGGACGGCGGCGATTCGCCGTAGGCGTCCTCGACCTGCCGCCCCCGCAATCTGCTGGAGGGGTGTTTGGCGTGCCGGATGTGTAGCTGTTGCTGGTCGTCCCTTGCAGGATTCCCAATGCCCTTCGGCCCAACCCGCTAGCCACCCGCAGCACGTGCCTCACAACGACCTGCCCGCCTGAGATGGCCGCACAGAGACGGCCAGGAGATGGCCCAAGATGGCAGTACGCTTCCAACGCGCAGCCAAGACGGCCCAAGATTGCCATACGGCGGCCCGCGATGACAGCCAAGGGGCCCGCACGACCGTCGCCCCAAGCGCGCAAGAGGCCCTCCCCCCAGGAGCCCCAAAGGAAGCCCAAATCAGTGATTCCGAATTGGGGTTGAAAGAGGTTCGCGTCCTCGCCTTGCGGGCTCCCGGCAGCCCAAGACGGACCCACATGCCTGCAAGACATCCCAAAGACAGCCCGAGAAGAGCCGCCGAGAGGGCCGAAACCCTGGCAAAGAGTGCCCCAGTACAGCGCAAGACGACATCCGAAGGCGTCAGACTGGCAAAGCGAGCCCTGAGACGGCCCAAGAGGCCCCGAAGACGCCCTAAGATGCCCCCAGGAGGCCCCCTTTAAGCAGCCCCGCGAGGCCCTCGGAGGCCAACAAGAGGCCTCCTAGGAGGCCCCCCCCCCGGAGGCCTCAAGAGGGGCCCAACGAGACCTCCTAGAGGCCTCCGCCTCCTCCGTCTCGTCCTCAGTACCCCCCCTACCCTCATAGCTCTGGTTGTCACACACACACGCACACTTTCTCTCTCTCTCTCTTTCTCTCTTTCTCTCGTTTCCGGTTTCTGTCTGTATGTCTCTCTCGCTCTCTCTCTCTCTCTCTCTCGTTCTCTCTCTCCCTCTCTCCCTCCCTTCCCTCGCTCCCTCCTCATCTCTCGTTATCTGCCTTTAGTCTTATTATGTGTTTGATGTTTTCTCTCTCTCTCTCTCTCCCTCCCTCTCCTTCTCTCTCTCTCTCTCTTCCTTCCGCACGTGTTCACCAATCAAGGGTATTCCACAAAGGCTGGGGGAGCATAGAGTCCAATAGCCTGGCCAGATTGGACTACCCGTTGGCCACATTGACACTTCCAACAAGTAGGGTGCGGCGATGGTTCGCGGTAGGCGTCTTCAACCCATGTTGGGCTTGCCCCCCATGCAATGGTACGCCTGGAAATCATGGAACCGAAATGCAAACGGGGAGCCAAACAGAGAGACGGAACCTATGAGGTGCATGGTGATACACATTAACAGTGTTGTGATGCTGATGTCTTTGATGATTGCTGTGATATGTTCTGGTGACGCAGATGCTGGTGATGGTGTTCACTAATACCATGGTGATGATTGTGGCTGATGCGTCTGATACTGGCTGTGAGTAGCATGTCGACAACGAGGATGGTGTCAAGGCGGAGGAGCAGAATGGGAGGGATGTAGGGAGGGATTGCACAGACTGGTGCGATGGAACCTGCTGACTCCCGCTGGCCGCAGTGTCGAGGCGTGCGAGACATCTGACGGCCCTCCTCACCCCCTGCGGTCCAAAATGCCAAGTGGAAAAGGAAACATGAGGGAGAAGGGAAATGAAACCAGAAGGGAGGAGGCAGAATCATGAAGAAGGGAGACAGAGAGAGGAAACAACATAATTGACGAACAGGTGGATGAATGGGCAGGGGGTGAATAGGTGGAAGAGCACTGAGGCGGAACTGAAAGAGGAAGAGGAGGAGGAGGAGGAGGAAGAATACGACGATGATTACGGGGATGCAGAGAGGGGGGACGGGGGATATCGCGAACGAACGAACGTGACGGTGGATGACGGAGATGGGAGCGAAACAAAAGATGAATGAGCATAGCGGGAACGTTGAATACAAACCGCATGCTTGACAACACTGATGCGCAACGGGGAGACTGTGACGTAACAAGCGGTGACAAAAGGGGAGATGAGAAGGGTGGGGGGAGGGAAAGAGAGAGAGAGAGAGAGAGCGAGGAAGCGAGAAAGAGAGAAAGAGAGAGAGACACAAAAAACAAAAAAAAGAAGTGCGAGAGAGAGGGAGAGAGAAAGAGCGAAAGATGGAATAGAGAGAGAGAGGGCGAGGGAGGAAGGGGGAGAGTGGAAGCTACCTTGGCCTCATCACGGGCGAGGGCACATGAGAAGCGGAAACGGCACGCCAGCAACAGCATGTGGGGAGCCTCAACTCACGAGTCTGGCGCTTCTCCTCCCTCCTGCCCTCCCTCTGATTCTACAGAGGCCCAGGGTGACAACCACGCATATCGACGTACATTCCAGAAGTGCCAGTATGCGTGCACATGTTGACATGTGTCAATACTTCCACTTTTGGACGAGAAATGTCCCATACGTAGTTTCCTCTTCCCCATCCACTTACCATATTTCCCATATTTGGGCACATGTCAACGACTATCTGTGCGTGTGTGTGGGTGTGTGAGTGTGTGAGTGTGTGTTTGTGTGTGTGTGTGTGTCTCTGTGTGCGCGTCGAGTTATCCCGCTTGGGCCTCGCCCCCGCCTCCGCCCCGCTCCTCTTCGCCCTCTCGTCCTCCGCTCCGCCCCCATCATCGTCTCCCCGGTGCTGCTGCCATCCTCCCACACGCAGGAGTGGCCCTGGGTAAAGACTGACCTTTCGTGCGCGGCTTTTTGGGGGCCGCGGGGGGACCAGACCTGGGCGCGCAAGCCGCTGCTTCTGCTTCGTTTTCGGCCATCTGGGGAACCATATGCGCCCGCACCACAGGTCACTCCGGCGAAAGGTCGCTCTTACGTATAGTCGATCCTCGCATTCGAGAAAAGAGAGTCCAACCGGGGTTAAAACCAACCGCGCTGGAGCAACACTGTAGGGAATCCATCGTGGAATCCGCGGGGGAAACCCATGAGACATACGCAGCATCTTGAATAAAACGGTGTTACGTGGTGTCAACCTGAGATTCCAAACATCCGATCGGCGTTTTTTCGGCTTCGTGCGGACCTGCGTTTAGCATCATTTCGGGGTGACAATTACGGAATTCAAGTGGACATCCTGTGCGACGGAGGCTTCCACAGAGGTTTCACGCGGTGGTGGATGGGCAAAGATCAATACCTGCGATTCTGCGCAAGGGCTTTGGAGGCGGCTGGTGAGCCTCCCTAGCCTTCAAAAGAAGGTGTTATCAAATTAGACGCGAATCGATGCGACTGTGTAAACGGAGTGGTATCATACATTGACACGGACGTCCATAATATACACGGATATAGCGACACGTAGATAATACTTAGACACGAATCGGCACGAACATATATCCGACGACGGGCTCGCGCAAAAAGGCAACGAATGATAGACATGCTTACATACGGTGAGAGGGAAACAATTATTGAACACCCCCCTTCCCCCCCAAACTCACTGTTGGCACGCGTGGGGGAGACTGCGGTCGAAGTGCACGTCATCAGACCCAGCGCCAACTTTGAACATTGGGGGGAGAGGGAGGCGTTGACAGATGAATGTGGCATGCATGTTCGCTAATTTGTCCCGAGGCCTGTGGGTATGTTGCCCGGCACGTGGCTACCCTCGAACTCATTGGGGCGCAAAAATACAGGAAGAGGTACACGGGAAAATGCTCGAGCGGAGGAGACATCTCAATCACTGCGAAAATCAAACCGTCAACCGTGGACATACCCCGGACTGAGTCAGACCGGGGTAAATCGAACTTGACACTTTGCTTTTCGACTTTCACGACGAACCACGGCGGCGGCCGACTGACAACGACGACATCGTCCAGGCGCCAAACAAGATCCGGCCAAAGCGGCTGCATGTCGTTATGTCTAGCGCCTCCCCAACGGCCCCGGGACCCCCCCGGAGGCGCGTCGCGCATCCCACCTTATTTTTCATGTATTACTCGTACCACTCGGCCCATCACTCCTTAT